TATGGTTCATTATATATATATATATATATATAAAGAAAGTATATAATTCACATGAAGAAGAAAAAAACCCATCACGACCTCTCCAAATTGCCTTTATAATAGTATTATGTGACGCTGTCTGTATATGAACGTACGTGTGGATAGTTACCCTACATGTCTTTTGAACAATTGGTATCAAATTATAAATAAATAAATATAATTTATATCTGTACATTTATTGAAATCATATTAAATGAAAAAAAAATTATTGGACAAAGAGTTTCATACTGAAATCAGATTTACAAGACCAAAAATATAATTTGAAATAGATGTTCGAATAAATCTTTCAGTTTTATCCAGCTAAAATAGTACATATATGTACTTATATAAATCCATCTGAAAGTACATGTTTCGTATTTATCTTTTTTTGGTTTTGACACATCAGTTTGGTTTCCACTATAGTATATAATATAGAAGTCTTTTTCGTAGTTTATAGACCATGATCATATAAAAGTACTCAAAATAAATGAGCTATATATGTGAAACAGTGAGAGTAAAGATTCACTAATTACAACTTAATAGAAAAAACCAAGTATTAGTGTTTTAACATATAAATACATATTTGCAAAGGCGAAAAGAGAAACAATTAAATTAAAAGAAAAGTCTATTGTTATAAATATAGTAAAACATTTTAGTGGATAATTGATTAATCAATTGGCCAAAGAGACAATAGTTGACTGGAGAGAAAACATATCATGTGCTTGCATTATGATAAGCTAAAGAGTAAATGATGATCCCAAAAGGATTTTATTCCTGATTTTATATTATATAGATAATTAATTTGATTTGTTTAATTCAATTCTTTAATTTGGTCCATAATCTCATCTCCATTTTCGTACCAGACAATTGCTAAGGGTTTTAAGTATCATACAAAATTATTAGAGAGGGAATCTTTATATTTTTCCCCATTAACTAATGCATGCGAATTAGAAGAATGCCAAAGAAAAAAAGAGAGGAATATTACTTAAAACGGATAAAAGATATTTAGGAGACTCTGATAACAATTTGGTTTAGAAGGCAATGAAATGACCATTGTCTTTTGAATTGTGTCGTTATAGTACCAAATTAAAGAGCAAATATCATTCCCATAATGGTGATATAAATGTATTGTTAACTTCTCACAAACTTTGCGTTGAAATGCTTTTACTTTGCTGTTTTTATTAAGTGAGTAAATATCATATTAATTTTTTTTTAAAGTAGGAATTACATATAGGTTACCTAAAGTTTTAATTCCTCAATTAGCATAAAATTTTAAGGAATTAAGCTTTTCTTTCACGAGTGAAACTTTTGTGGTGCCTTCTCGCGTTGATGGGGTTTATAGTGTTACGTAGGCTCAATAATCTTGACGATGGCAACTAGTGGGATAACTTGAGAATTATGCATCATATTGTTCTGTTTCCAAATCGCATAGATAATAGCCCAAGTGAAAAGTTTCTTGAATGTAGAAAGAGCATTGAAATGCTTTACATGGAGGGACAAACAAAGTTTAAAAGCAAAAGATAATTGAGTTTAGTGGAAACAATATAACTTTCCATTGTGAGATCAGTCTGGTTTGGTACGTACTAGCTAGCTAGACCATGGAAGCTATCGATCACTTGAATTTGTATTCATAGTAAAATGTAATTTTCGATGAGTACGTAAGATTGAAAATGGTATGTGGTACAAGGAGGTGTAGTAGTTGTTTAAACTTGGGGTTTGAGACATAAAAAGGACCTACAAGGATGAGTCGAGATACGTTATCCACCAAAGTCACACAGTGTCGCACATGCCATTGCCTCTTGTCCTTCTCCCGTTTCCATTTTAGGCTCCACCATTTTTCTCTAGTTCCCATGCTTCGCGTCTATGGTAATTACTGTAGGCCTTTACTGTTTCCTACCGTTAGATCTATCAGCCTAGCCGTCGATGTAACTATTTAGTTCTCTTTATCGACATCAGGTTGACTATCAAAACGTTGCTAGTTGGCTCAATGTAGTAGTAAATGTCCCAATTCCTAAATTTATCGACATCCAAGTTGAATACATATAATAACATAACAAGAACATAAATAACTGTTGGAGAATAGATACATTATTACTATTTACTAGTATAACATATATGAAGTAGTCAATAAGTGAGGGACTTTATTAAAATAGAATATTTTCACTCAAAATATACCATCAAATATTTAAAGGTTGAATTGTTAATTCACTTGTATGAAAATTTCTTAAAATTCCTAAGATTTTCTTACGTTTTTGAAGAACAAAAATATTAATGAATTAAATAAGTGGTGATCTAATCTAGTATTAGTACAAGGAACTGATATTTTTTAGTGTCTTTGTTTGATTAGAACTGATTTTTTTTTTTTATGATTATATATCTAAATTTTGACTCAGAAATCAGAATATTACGAATACTATGGATTAAAAGTTTTTTTTTTAATTATTTGATACTTTAAGATATATTATTATAGTTAAAAATATAATTGTAAGTCAATAATTGATGTAACATTTATCGAAGGGGAAAATTTCATAAAAATTCCCCATCTAATTTTAATTTGGAAGTTTAATACCCAATGTTATTTGATTGGAAACAAAATGCATGGTTTATTAATTTGTTGTCTATTAATACATCAAGTATATAAAAATTGTCGAATCGAAGAAACCGCTTAACAAACGATAATCGGATTGACGGAATCACTAAACCGGGGTTAATGGAATTACACTAAACTTAGGGTTTATCGATCCCAATTTGATTTGAGGTAATAGCAAAGGACAATGTAGCATTTGGATAACCCCAAATTACCCGTGTGTTTAGGGATTAGTGATTTCGTCAACCTCGGTTTAGTGATTCCGTCAAACCGATTAAGCGGTTTATTCGATTCGACAATTTTTATATAATTAATGTATTAATAGACCAAAATTTAATAAACCATGCATTTTATTTCCAATCAAATAATATTGGGTATTAAACTTCCAAATTAAAATTTGATGGGGAATTTTTATGGAATTTTTCCTTTATCGAAGCCGCCTCCGAGACTTGGCTTATATTCCATGAAGATTCCTCTTTTTATATGTGAGAAGAGTCATGGTTAAGAGTTAAGACATCGAATCTTTTTTTTTTTTTTTTATGACAATGGACAAATTATTTAAATAAATTTATTAAAAAATAAATAACTAAATAACTTGATATCAATTCTTCGTATTAATTTAGTTACTGATGACATTCTAAAATTTTAGACTAGTAGTAGTTGTTGGTATATGACTATAAGTTTATAACAAAACTATGAACACAGTTTATTTGGTTGATTCTGGTTTCCGGATGCCATAAATATTCCATCTAATTAAACAATTAAACTAATAGTGTTTGAATAAGATACAAAAATAATTAGTCTTTGCTAAACAATTTTTAAAACGACAGTTATTCGTTTTGAGTATGATAAGGCAATGATATTTTTTTTACTCATTATAGATGTTCTAGGTGTAGTTAATTATTTTAAGTCAAGTTATATATATATATATATATATACAGTATAAGCTAAAAGGAGGCAAAGCAAAGGTACTAATATCATAGTTTAATGCACATAAGTAAATTAGAATATATGTATTAACCCAATAATGGCGTGGAATCATTGTGTGTTTTATACCTGGCACAATATTATATTGGGTTCAAGCTTAGTTAAACACTCTTCAGAAGTAATTAAATATTCAGTTGAATGAGAATATAAAACTCAATTGTTTTGTTTTGTTAACTTTAATCATTGGAACTAATTTTTAACTATTTCCTTCTCCTCAATTAAAAAATGAATTTGCTGATTACAAATGGGATATTTTATATGTACTTATATATTTGTAATATCAAATAATCATATAATTTTCAGTCATGATGAAAAATTTAACATAAGAGGTAATGTGCAAATATCCGAACCAAAAAATCTCCGTGTCTTTTTTGGATATTTATAGGTTCTGAAATTTTAAACCCAAACCTATATAAGATCTGAAGAATAAATCGAACTAATAATAATTTTTATCTTATTAAATCTAAAAACAAAATTATCTGAAGAATTTAAACTCGATCGGTTTCTATTTGAACCTTACCATCCGATTATCTGAATGACCATATCTACTTACAATAGAGAATAATGACATTAAATAATCATTCATGAAATTTTCTTACTTTTAGCATATAATTCCAAAGTATTTATACGTGGAAAAAAATATGGAATAGACTCATTTTTTATGTCAAAGAACTTGTTATTAATGGCTAGAAAATAATAATTATGTAGAAGAATTAGACGCGACACACATTTATTACAAAATCATAAATGCGAAATATACATAGCTGTGGACAACGTTACTAAATAAAGTTCAAACCCCAAATTTTTCGTAATATGCAAAAAAAAAAAAAACCATATATAAATATATATACGTTTTTAACCCAAACAAAAAGATAGCGTGTGGTTCGCAAATCAAACCTTTAAGAAGAAACTAAGCTAATAATTTCACACAGTCACATCCTTTTCATATAGTTTAAAAAAAATATATTATCTCTATTTTATATTCGTCTCATAAGTTACTGAAAAGTGTGACTTTTTTTTTTCTTGGACAAACAGAAAAAGTATGACTTTTATATTCATACTTACTATATCAAATATATGTGGGATTAACATTCATTTATAGAAAAATTCAATTCTCAAAAAAAAAAAAAAGATATATATACGCAATATTAGCCATGAAAATTTATTAAATCGTTATTATATCCATTTTTAACAAAATAAAGTACACTTATATCATTTTTTCATAAAATATATTTATAAATCATGAAAAGTTTCAAACAATAATTAGCTAATGTACAATATATACTACCAATTCAAAAAGAAAAGAAAAAAAATGGGACTCGTGTAAAGACTTGAACGTACCAAAACAAAAAACCTTATATTCCCCAAATCCTGCTCTCCTTTTCTCATCTTCTCACTTCAAACTCTCTCTATCTCTCTTTCTCTCTCACCTCTCATACTTATGAACTAAAAGATTTCTCTGAAAGCTGACTTCAAAAGCTTTTTTTATAAAAAAAGTTCTCAAGAAAACATACAAAAACTGATCGATCTTTATAGTAATTGTTCTATTCATAACAATATATGATGGGGAGACATTCATGTTGTTACAAACAGAAGCTGAGGAAAGGACTTTGGTCTCCTGAAGAAGATGAGAAGCTTCTTCGTTACATCACTAAGTATGGTCATGGCTGCTGGAGCTCTGTCCCTAAACAAGCTGGTATGTATATTTTTAATATCTTCTTTTCTTTTTCCTTACTTCTCTCTAAATGATTCTTTGTATTTGATTGGTTAATTGGATTCTTGACTTTATCTTTTTTTACAAAAAAAAATTATGATTAGGTTTGCAGAGATGTGGCAAAAGCTGTAGATTAAGATGGATAAATTACTTAAGACCTGATTTGAAGCGAGGAGCATTTTCTCAAGATGAAGAGAATCTCATTATTGAACTTCATGCCGTTCTTGGCAATAGGTAATTTTTAACAAAAAACTAAAACTTCATACACTTCTTTCTCATCAGTCATCTCATCAGTTCATATGATCTAAGTGTTGTTTTGGTTTGGTTTGGTTCAGGTGGTCTCAGATAGCTGCACAGCTCCCTGGTAGAACCGACAATGAAATCAAGAATCTGTGGAATTCTTGCTTGAAGAAGAAATTGAGGCTGAGAGGGATCGACCCGGTTACACACAAGCTCTTAACCGAAATCGAATCCGGTACAGATGACAAACCAAAACCGGTCGAGAAGAGTCAACAACAGACCTACTACCACCTAGTTGAGACTGAAGGCTCCTCTAGCACCACCACTTGCAGTACTACTACTAACCAAAACAACAACAACAACAACAATACTGATCATCTATATACCGGAAATTTCGGTTTTCAACGGTTAAGTATAGAAAACGGTTCAAGAACCGCAACCGGTTCAGACCTCGGAATCTGGATTCCCCAAACCGGAAGAAACCACCATCATGTCGATGAAAACGTCCCTAGTGCAGTGGTGCTACCCGGTTCAATGTTCTCATCCGGTTTAACCGGGTACAGATCCTCAAATCTTGGTTTAATCGAATTGGAGAACTCATTCTCAACCGGGCCAATGATGACAGAGCAGCAGCAAATTCAGGAGAGTAACTACAACAACAACAACAGTTCAGCATTTTTTGGAGCTGGGAATGTGAATTGGGGATTAACAATGGATGAAAATCAAATTCCATTCGCAATATCGAATCATTCAAATTCTTCGTTATATAGTGATATCAAATCGGAGACCAATTTTTTCGGTACAGAGGCAACAAATGTTGGTATGTGGCCAATTTGTAACCAGCTTCAAGCTCAGCAACATGCATATGGTCATATATAAAATCTTCTTTGTATATTATAAGGTGTGTAAATCTTCTTTTCTCTTCTTCTTCTTTTTTTGTTTTTTTTTTCTTTTTGTTGAAGTGGCTTGTGTATATAAAGTTTGTGTTATATATCATTTAATTTAACAGTATTGTTTTTTTTTTACATTTATTTTTCAAAAAAATATTTGATGTACTTTGTGATTTGTGAAGCACAGATTTATGGACTCTGGGATTTTGTTTCTCTATTGTTTAATGGATTCATGACATTTATTTCTTAATGTTATTTACAAAATTGATATGGTACATGATGGTTTGGACCTTACTAGTTTCTTGATACCAAAATATTTTTACTGAGTTCTGAGTTTTGTTTTAACACATTGTTTACTCTTGTATACTTTAGTGTTTGGAAATATGCCTCTTTATCTTTTTTACCATGACAAAAATTAAAGAATATTTGTTAAAGATCCAAAACATCAAAAATATTTTATAAACGGATACTTTTTTGTTTTGTTTTTTGTGAAATGAAAGAGGTAGGAATTACTCAACATAGCATAATATTAAACACTATAAATCTCTCTACATAAATTACAAGGAATCAACTTGGCCAGCACTACAATAGTTTCCACAAGAAATCCACTCTATTCAATTTAGGCACCTTGTATGAAATCACAAATTAATTTAGACACATTTGTATGGAATCATCCATCCTACTCTAAGCATTTGCGTCTTTTTATATGTGGATACGCAAATTAATTGTGTACTGATATGGTTATGGCCGTTCTTGCCAATATTGATACAACAGAGATGGAGTTAGCCCTGGGCAAAAAGCCCGTACCCGAAGCCCATACCCGAACCCGGCCCGTACCGAACCCGAACCCGATTAAAGAGGATACCCGATCGGGTTTTGGTTTTGAAATTTCCGGGTTCGGGTCCGGGTTCGGGTAAACCCGAAAACCCGACCATACCCGATTAAACCCGATTTCATTCATGCGACATGCTTTTGTAATTTTGTTGATCGATTCATGAATCATGCCTTTGTAATTTTGTTGATCGATTAAGATTTTATTGCCCAGAAACTGATATACT